CAACGCCTGGCCATTTTTTGGCTGCAGCCATCATTGTTGTTTGGCAGGCCCGGGCTGGGGATTCGAACCCGCCACCTTAGGTGTATGTGGCTGGCCCCTTAGCCGCTTGAGCCACAGGCACCGAGCCCAATCTTTCCTTTTGAAGGCTGCCCTCCCTTCACCCCCAAATCTAACAATGTATTTCTGGTGGGAACTTCCCATTTTAGTACTTCCCCTTACACCAAGAATCCCCTCTCTAGGATTTTTCAGCTTGACCCCAGGGTGGGAGACCAGGAAGCAACACCAAAACAGCTCTATTCCCTTAGATGAAGAGGCTGAACAAGCTCAGAGCTGTCAAAAGCTTGGTTCTAACCTCAGAAAGTAAGTCCATTTGCAGATGAGACAAACGGGGCAGAGACGGAGAGAGGAGAACAGAGAACAAGGCCTGACGGCATTCGAGTCTGGTTCCAGTGGCCTTGCTCTTCCTATAGTCTACTTACATGAACCAATTAATTTTCTTTTGCATCTAAGAAAGTTCAAGTTGTTTTTCAGTCACTGGAAACAGTAGGAGTCCTAATTAATACTTTCCACTTATTTGCACTGATACAGCCCACTCAGATGCATTATACGATTGAGATTTCAAAAGAGAGGGTTAGTTAAAATTCTTGCTCAGTGAATGTAGTACAGAGAGGACAGGCTTATCACTATCCCTCCTCAATTGGCCCAAGCTTACCTGGGGATTTCGAACATGGAATTCCTTCTCCCCTTCCTCAATTGGACGGTAAGGAATCCATTCCTCCTCCAGCAACTCGTTCTCTGGGGCCCGCTTGCAGAAATATGTGGTTGCAGCTGACTGGTCCCTGAAATATACATATCCTCAGAGAGAAACCAGACTTTTGAGCTCATTTCTCCCCTTTACCAACTCTTCCCTTTCAACCAAGACATTCTGGATTACCCACTAGCCAGTAAGGATATCTGGTAAACACATAGGAGAGTAGAAAAACATGGACTTCAGGGCCAGACATGGGTCCAAACCCCACTCAGCTGTGTCGCTTTTGGCAAGTTATTTAACATCTTTGAACCTTGGTTTTCTCCTCCTTGAAATGGGTATCACACCTGCTTTGCATGGTTGTTGGGAGGATTATAAGTAATATACTGATAGGGAACTAGTCTGTACCCCAGCTCAGTGCAGGTACCTGATCCATGCCAGCTCATTATAACTGTCATCCCCTTACCTGTGCTCCAGCACAGCAACCACAAAGCCACGGGAGGCCAGCTCCATGCAGAAAGCTGAATACAATGTCCTAGAGATGGAACAGGGAGAAGGGATCAAATGAATGGCCCAGCCTTCTCCCCCATGCCAATCAAGCTCTGCTAGCAGCCAGCTCAAAAGACTGAATGGCAGAAGCTCCTGGAGGGGGGGGGACAGCCCTTCTCCAGGTGCCTCTAGGAGATAATTTGCAAATCAATCCATGGTGCCTTCCAGCTCCATAGAACTGAGTCAGCTCAACCCCATGCCCAGACATATTGTGGCTATTTCAATTGCATTTTTATTGCCTATACATTGTATGTTTCCCAATTTATTCGGTAAGCTCCTAGAGGATAGAGACTGTGGCTATTTCTTTAACATGCAATTCATCTGTGATTTTTTTTGTCTGCCAGCTTTCTAGGGGGAAAAAAAAGGAATATGGGAGATATTGCTAATTACTTATTCTAAACATCTATTTTTCCTTTCCTCCTTAGCAACAGAATATTATTTTCAGCAGAAGACCTGTCATCCATCAACACGGTGCATTTCCTAGCCTCCCTTGCAGCCAGGTTTGTCTGTGTGGTTAAGTTCTAGCCCAACGTGGTTGAACAGAAATATAATGTAAGTAATGTAAAACCTTCTAGTAAGGCCAGGCAAATATAGGATATAGGTCACGCCTATATCCGAACACTCTGGGAGGCCAAGGCGGGTTGCATCCCTTGAGCTCAGGAGTTTCAGACCAACCTGAGCAAGAGTGAGACCCCATCTCTACTAAAAATGAAAAACTAAGGCAAGAGGATCGCTTCAGCCCACACGTTTGAGGTTGCTGTATGATGATGATGATGTCGAGCTATGATGCCCTGGCACTCTATCAAGGGTGACAAAGGTGAGACTGTCTCAAAAAATTAAATAAATAAATAAAAGTTTTAAGTAGAGGAGAGACATTTAGTTATTCACTCAGCAGATATTTATTTATTTATTTAACTTTTTTTTTTTTTTAAGAGACAGAGTCTCACTTTGTCACCCTCAGTAGAGTACTGTGGCATCACAGCTCACAGCAACCTCCAGCTCTTGGGCTTAGGCGATTCTCTCACCTCAGCTTCCTGATTAGCTAGAACTACAGGCACCCACCACAATGCCCAGCTATTTTTTTGTTGCAGTTTGGCTGGGACGAGTTTGAACCCGCCACCCTCAGTATATGGGCCCGGAGCCCTACTCACTTAAGCCACAGGCATCACCCTCAGCAAGTATTTATTGAGTACCTATTATATGCCAGGCATTGTTCTAGGTGTTGGAATGACAAAACGATATTTGGTTTTAAAATAAATCTCCCTGGCTCAGTGCCTATAACTCAGTGGCTAGGGTGCTGGCCACAAACACTGAGGCTGGCAGGTTCGAACCCCGCCAGGGCCTGCTAAACAACAATGACAACTATAAGAAAAAAATAGCCAGGCATTGTGGAGGGCACCTGTAGTCCCAGCTACTTGGAAGGCTGAGGCAAGAGAATCACTTAAGCCTAAGAGTTTGAGGTTGCTGTGAACTGTGATGCCACAGTACTCTACTCTACAGAGGGCAACATAGTGAGACTCTTTCTCAAAAAAAAGATCTCCCTGGCCACAGTGTGGACCAATGGACTGGGGGCTGGGGAGAAAAAAATAGATACCCTTGAGATGTGTAACATTCTGGGGCATAAACTAGACATATATGCTGATGGATTGACAGACAGAACATTCGCAAGCTTAAACAGGAACACAGGACCACAATTATTAAGCTATATAACATACCAAAGTATAGAAATCAGAATTCATGGAAGAATTTTGAATGGACACTGAATTAGGAAACTCAAAGCAATGTTTCCCAAAGTCCAATAAAAGAGATTCTGCAATTTGCCATCACTATATCTCTCTATGTGGAAAAAGGGAGAGGGGAAGTGGCATGGGTGTATACCCCATAGGTGCCAACAGACCAAATCCCCACAAACCACCCAGTGGGAGCAGCAGCTCCAACTGACAGATGATAAAATCTAGGTCAGAGGCTTGTACAACTTTCCCAAGCTCACACAAAGCACAAGCGGTGTGGCTGAGATGTGCGGGTTAGGCTGCGAGCTTCACAAGTGCAAGGGATGGTCTATCTTCCTCACTGCAACACCAGTGCCGCACACACAGCAGTCCCTCAACAAACACTGATTACATAATTCTCTGCCCTCAGAGTAGTGGAGGGGAGAAGAAGAAAAAAAAAAAACATTTACAAAAGAGAATAGATAATTCTCCGACTACAAAGCTCACAGTCTTTCTAGGACTTCAAAGTATACGGTTATATAAATCCCGGAATATGACAAGTGAAGGGTCTGAAGGCTGCCAAAAGTCTCCACTGGGTAAAAGTAGCCTGGGAAAGACTTTCCAGAGAAGGTGGCCCCAGTGCTAGAAGATGAGACAGATGGGAAATAAGACAGCAGGCGGATGGAGATGTCTGTTTTCTGCCCTTTGAGAGTAAGTTAAGACTCAGCAGCTGTCACTAGGCAAGGTTGGGGGTGGAGAAGCTCTTACCTGAAGGCTCCCAGACCGTGGGAGAAGATGATCAAGGGGTATCCAGAGTCCTTTTTCTTAAATGGGCCATTCCAGCTAACAGGCAGGCGACAAGATCCTAGCAGAGACATGGGCTGTAGAATCTTTGGCTGCACCAAAGCTGTAATCGCAAGGGCAGCTGGAGGACAGGCCTGGGTGGGGACATGTGTTCCTCCCCTCTGAAGAACCACCATCGGGCCCTGAGCAGCCCAGGCCATTCAATCACCTATTCTCTCCCCTTTTCTTCCCTAGAAAGAGTGAACACAATAGAAAATGGGAAGACAAATCCAAAGGGGCAGTACTGAGCAACTCTGGGGTAAATCACTGAGACGCCAAGGCAGTGGGTAGAGTTCCTAGGGGAGGGGCCTTTGGGGGATGTGGATGATGTGGATGATTCAATGTTACTCTACCCAGAGATGGGGGTGGGGGGGGTGGGGTAGGCCTGGTGGGAGAATAGTGGGAGATTGTATACTCTTGACAGCTAAGCATCTTTTTTTTATTTTTTTTTGAGACAGAGTCTCACCTGGTCACCCACGGTAGAATGCCGCTATGTCGTAGCTCACAGCAACCTCCAACTCTTGGGTTCAAGTGACAGTTTGCCTCAGCCTCCTAAGTAGCTGAGATTACAGGCAACCGCCACAATGCCCGGCTCTTTTTTCAGAGATGAAGTCTAACTTTGGCTCAGGTTGGTCTTGAACCTGTGAGCTCAGGCAATCCACCTGCCTCAGCCTCCCGCGTGCTGGGATTGCAGGCATGAACCACCATGCCTGGCTGATAGCTAAGAATCTTTCTTGGTAGCTGGGTGTTGTGGCAGGCGCCTGTGGTCCCAGCTACTTGGGAGGCTGAGGCAGGAGACTCACTTGAGCCCAGGAGTTGGAGGTTGCTGTGAGCAGTGAAGCCATGGCACTCTACCCAGGAGGACAGCTTGAGGCTCTGTCTCAAAAAAAAAAGAATCTTTCTTGGTATACACAATAGCTGGCACAGAATGGAAAATAACACATGCTGAATAAATAAGTAATAGATGCCATTTACGGAACACACTGCACTAGAGGCTTTACATACATCTGGCACTACAACCTTGCAAAGGCAGGTGTTTAGACAAGTGAAGTAACTTGCCCAACATGGCAGTAAGTTATAAAGTCTGGATTCAAATCCAGGAGAGTCTAACTTGATAACCCAAGCCCCATAGCTACTGTGTTTCCCCGAAAATAAGACACTGTCTTATATTTATTTTTTCTTAAGAAGACACACTAGGGCTTATTTTCAGGGGATGTCTTATTCTTATTAAGTATAATATAACAATCTACATTTATTCAAATACAGTTAAGTCAGTCATCTTCTTCTGGAACCTGACAGGGGCAGCTGACCTTGTTAGTGGGGCTGGCACTAGTGATGAGTGAACTCCTTTCCCCTAGCCATTTGCACATGTGCATAGGATGCCTGTGACTGCAGTTGTCACACGTGCACCTGCACAAGTGTGAATGGCTCAGAGAAAGGAGCTGTGGCAGATAAAAGATATTCCAGTCTTCCTTACTGCTCAGCGCCAAATGTAGGGTGTGGCTATGCAGATACGTATCTGCATAGCCACGCCCACCACTAGGTCTTATTACCAGGGTAGGGCTTATATTTAACAAATGCATAGAAATCCTGCTAGGGCTTATTTTTTGGGTAGGTCTTATTTTCAGGGAAACACGGTAGTAAGTTATAGTCTGGATTCAAATCCAGGAGAGTCTAACTTGGTAACTCAAGCTCTTTTTTTTTTTGAGACAGAGCCTCAAGCTATCCGCCTAAGTAGAGCGTCGTGGCTTCACAGCTCACAGCAACCTCCAACTCCTGGGCTCAAGCGAGTCTCCTGCCTCCGCCTCCC